GGCAATGACGCCATCGCCATCGGCGATACTGCTGGGGCCACCGACCAGGGTGCGTACAGTGTAGCAATTGGTCCATACGCAGGCGCTGATGCACAGCACGCAAACACGGTTATATTCAACGCATCGACAAGCAAGCTGAACAGTTCAGTCTCAAATGCGACGTACATTCGTCCCATCGGTGCCGGACCGGGAACCATGCCCCTGTACTACGACTCCGTGACGTCTGAAGTTGTCGTGTCGTCGGGGTCGTTGGCAACTACCGGTGCTGATGGTACCTCGGTCACTGGGATACACGTTGACTCCTCTGGTAAATTGGTCGTCGATTTTACTGATAGTTCTACCGCCGTTATTGACGGCGCCCTCATGGGAAATGTACACGGCCCACCGGGTACAATCGGACCCACTGGGCCTGCTGGTGAACAGGGTCCCAGCGTATCGTCCCTTGAAATTACCGCTGGGGGTGGTCTAATGACTACCCTCACGGACGGTACGACGACCATAACTAGTAATATCAAGGGAACTACAGGTCCCTCGGGGGCTGGGATTAAAACCATGGAACTTGTCGCTGATTCGCTCGTTTTCACCCTCACAGACAACAGTGTTGTAACCATCCCAGGTGCGTCCACTGTGAGTGGTGACGCAGGACCTGACTTCATTGACGTTAACCTGACAAACAGTACCATGACCATTGAGTACTCGGACGGCCATACAATGTCTATACCAAACGTCAAAGGGGCGACAGGCGCAACTGGTAGTGAAGGTGCCATGGGACCCGAAGGACCACCTGGTGCCAACGCAGGTTCGGGTATAACAGGAGCCACGGGCGCCAAGGGTCCTGGAGGACCCACGGGACCAACTGGTGCCACTGGTGCCACTGGTGCCACTGGCCCTGATTCAACCGGGACTGGTGGTACGGGTGGTACGGGTGTTACCGGCCCAGCTGGACAAGATGGAAATGATGTATATCCAACATTTCCCACATCCACATGCTACGGCGACTACTTGCGGTGGGACGGGACGGATTGGGTTCCTGGGGGTGGAAGGGTTGCAATTGGATGTCTAGCCGGTGAGCAAAATCAGAGCGCAAATGGTGTAACAATAGGAGACCAGGCGGGGCAGTTTGACCAGGGTGTTGATTCAGTAGCTATCGGATACCGTGCGGGCAATACATCCCAATCGGATTATTCGGTTGCAATGGGACATAATGCCGGCCGTACGAATCAGCAGGAAAAGTGTGTTGCCTTCGGAAGTGGTGCTGGTGAAGAGAACCAGGGTCATAGCTCCGTAGCCCTAGGGCTAAATGTGGGGAAAGTGAATCAGGGATCAGAATCAACCGCCATAGGGTACTATGCGGGTTACGAAAATATGGGAGCTGGAAGTACATGTATTGGCAACCAAGCCGGAGAACATTCGTGTGGTCCTATGTCACTTACTGTGGGACATCTTGCCGGCTCTGATAATGTCGGACCTGGATCGGTTATCATCGCATCACACTCGACCTTGGAAACCGCCGTTGACAACTGTATTTTTTTTAGGTATAAACAACTTTTGGTATAAGCAGCAGAACTTCGTTGCAAACGGGTTCTACACTGACTCTATACGCAATGTTGTCAGCAGTCACGCACTCTTTTATAACCCGGCTACCGCCGAAATAACCTACGGATCATCGTCTGACAAACAAAGCACAACATTACACCGGTTGACAGTGTACAATTAGACACGGTTTTAGCCGGTGTAGCGACGTTGAGACCCAAAAAGTTCGGATACAAGGAAAACATGTACCGTACCGACGACATTCAAACGCGAGGACACACCGACGTACGTTATTGCGGACTGATTGCCGAGGACTTACTTGAGACAACGCCGTCGCTTGTTCATACAAACGCTGACGGTGCAGCGATTGATATCAAATGGAACGATCTAACGGCGTATATACTAGCGATGCAGCAACGTAACGCAGAAGATCTCAGGGGTATAATTACGAGCGTTTAATAAAAACATTTTTACGGTAAGAATAAACAACCGAAACCAAATTGTGTGAAAAATAAAAATGTCCTGGGTGGTGGGTAACAGTAACATCAAACTTGGCATGTGTGCGGGAGAGTTTGATCAAAGTCAGGAAGCAGTCGCCATCGGGTACCACGCCGGACAGCACAATCAGGGTATTGATAGCATAGCTATTGGATGTGGCACCGGCAACACATCGCAAGGTGACCACTGTATTGCAATCGGGACGTCTGCAGGGGAGGCTAATCAACACGATCGCACTATTGTCATGGCGGCCACAAACGAGCCACTCACCAGCACACACAGCCCGGGGATGTATATAAAACCAATTCGTAATGTGACCGATCTGAATCCAACAGACCATGCGATGCGGTACAATCCTTCAACTGGTGAAGTAACACATTCTGAATACAACGGTGCAGCGTCGGGGCGCGGTGACAGGGGCACTATTCCGAGCTCATCGTCAGTGACTGACGATGGCCTATTATCAGTGGTTTTGAACGGCGAGTCGCACATCCTAGGCAATATCCGCGGTCTCACAGACGACAGTAGTGGTAAGGGTTCAGACGGTGGTGTGGGGCGTCTAGTGTCATCTGCATTATTGACACCCGAGGAGGACTTGACAATGAAGTTTACAACCGGTCCGGATCAACCTCGTACATATGTTAAAAGTGTAGTTACAACTAGCACGGGGGAAAGTAAAATCATTCTCAGTGATGGACGAGACATCGTAATCGATGGATATGCGGATGGATCGCGCGGCTACGGTATCGGCACCACAACACATATTGATAGTAACGGCGATTTGCAGATCGTGCTTGGAAACGGCGTATTGCACAACGCCGGTTCGGTACTCGGGGAGCCAGGGAATACGGGGGTGACGGGTCCGACTGGACCACCGGGGGGCACAACGAATACCGGCGCATCGGGGGCCACGGGAGCAACTGGTCTTACGGGGCCCACTGGGCCAACGGGTGATACTGGACCCACGGGTCCAATAGGCGATGCCGGTGGCGGCAGTGGTGGCAATGGACCAACCGGCCCCACTGGACCGACTGCGTCGGATGGTAGTGACGGTGTGATACCGTCGGGGTCGTGTGTATCAGAATACTTATACTACACGGGTGATGAATGGAATGTGGGTAGTACGGAAGTCAGAATAGGGTGCGATGTTGCTAAGAAAACGCTTAAATATATATA